GTTAAAGTTTATTTTAAATTAGGGCATTTTAGAATATTTGAACTTGTACTGGAACTTAAAATTTATGAAATAAATAAAAAATAAATAAATTAAAATAAATAAAAAAATATATAAAGCACAGGTGCACTATGAACATCTCTGGTAACTGCTTGTGTCCATGGAGATATTTTTGCTTTACTTGGAATGCTCCATAGAATGGCATTAAATATATCTATCTTGCATGTATTCAACTGCAGGTGTTTCGGGTGTCTATTACATCTAAAACTCCTTAAAAAACATGCATACTTTGAGCTGTCTCATTTCTCCACAGATCTGGCCTGTTGGCATCTCCTGCTTATCTCCGTGGGTACAGATATATTTAATACTGTGGCACACTGTGAGTATCACCTTTGCAATTAATTCATCTTACTTCTATTTAATATCTGATGTTCTAATACAAAATGAAGCCTTATAATGTGTGTGACTCAGTAACACAACTAGAGCATACTGGCTGTTGTTCACAAGCTTGTGTTTAAGCTTAATTAGTGCCAGGCATCTGTTCAAAACTTCACGAGAGAACCTGGGGCTCAGGGTGTGGCTCTCCGCACAAACTCTGCGGGTTAAAGGCACGTTGAAAAGGTAACATCCATGTCAGCACCTGCACAGAGCGAGAGAGTGGGGGCCTATTTAAAGAAGTCATGCACACCAGCAAGGTTTAAGTGTTCAGTCATGTATTTATACTGTACATTTTTATATAAAAACAACAAACTATAATAGGGTGGAGTTCACAGTCGATGAGAGACAATTGTAAAAAAAAAAAAACAATAATGAAGTTGCTCATTCAGCAAATATGTTTTTAAAGGTGCACTATGTTAATTTTGTGGTAAATTTGCTGCTGTGTAATGCATATTTTTCATAGCATATTTTAGTAATGAATACCTGTAATTAATTAAATGCTAAACAGGTATGTTTCACTAATGTCATACTATGGTACATTTTAGAAAAGCAATAACATGCACATGGCTGACCCAAGAAGTTACATTGTGCACCTTTAAATGAGAATTTGTGCGAATAATATTAATAAACTATAACAAAAAAACAAAAAACAAAAAACTTTTTGCATTTCTTATAAACAGGTTTTAAACATAACATTTTACATTATAACATCCTTAAGTCCTCATCTTAGCAATTCCTTATACACTCCCACTTATCTGTTTTCATTGGCAATCAGACAAAGATAACCAGTATGCAGAGGTTGACATAAAACACAACATATTCTGTCAATTGAAATCCTTGTTATTATAAGAATTACGTGGATGGCAAGAACAAATGATGCTCACATTTAGTCCGCCATGTTGGAATTGGACTCTTTGCCGTCTTATGTTTCTTCAGACAGTCACATCATTCAGTATTGATGCAGTGAACGCCTCTCCTATCTGCAGCATATACAGGTGTGTGTACAGGTGCAAAGGTAGGCAGTGTGAGATCTGTCTTATTTCACCAGAGGGAATATGAACAGTTACATATCTGTGTATTGAGCTTCCAAGCCTCAACATAATAATACTTAATATCAGCTCGATTCTTCTGACCTGGAGCTTTATGATTTAACAAGCTGCATTATGTCATCTTCATGCTTGAGGGTCTGCCAGCTGCTTGTCTCATGGAGATGCTATTGATTTGCATGGAGTGTTCCACAGTAAACCATAAGATGTATCTACATTCATTAGGCCTGTCACGATGACAAGAAGTTTGATACTTCAGTGAACAATAATATTGAAACTATTATGTGTCACTGACAGAAAGCAGGATAATCCCTGTAAACCCATTTTTAAATAGACAGTATGATTAAAAGGTCTAAGCTGCAACAAATAAATTAACCAATATTTAGAGAGAAAGAAAGAGGGAGAGAGATACTGTATTAACTATTATTATTATTTATGGATTTTGTTAGTTATTCAACCCTCAGTCTCATTGTATTACATAAGAAATGACTAAAATCTCATCATTATTGCAAAGAAAAAGTACCCATGATAAACAGTGAACCCCAAAATATTTTATTCCAGGTTTCCTATATTGAACGATAAGTAGATATTGTAATTATTGTGACAGGTCTAATATCTATGGAGATATGCAAGTTACATCACCATCTTACAGGTTAGATCTGCGTAGAGGCCAACCCACTCACTCTAATAAATGCAACATATGTTTCATACAGTGCAATTCAGTGCAATCACATCTCCATGGAAACAAGACCTGAAACCATGGTGTATCTCAAAAATTTGAAATTTGAGTATGATATTTCCTCATGGTCTACATAAGGACTTTCTAATATTGACATAAAATTCTTAAATTGCAGTAAAATGCCTTAATAAATAAACACACATTGCAATTGGTGGATGCATAAGTAGAATTTAAAAAACATTTGTAATTTGAAGTTTCAGTACTTTTTAAAGGCGGAAGAGCACTCAGACCGCAAATGGTCCAGGGCTTTGAGCAGACAGCTTGTGGTCTGTGACAGTAGTGTTCCTGTGCACTGGATGACATGGATATGCCTCTTGGGTGGGCACTGAAACAGAGCCTTTGGTGAGAGAGTGGGGGAGGGGAGAATGGGAGGGAGGGGCAGTTAAAGGATTGTCACATGACACCAAAACACCTGAATGTGGGTCACTACTCCCATTGAGATGGAGACTGCTCCACAGTCTCTTTTACACAGGAAGCCTTTCTCCTCATGACCATTAGAAGAAATTATGTAACTATTCCAAATGATTTACAATGCAGTGGCTTCTGATTGGATACTGCGTCAAAGCCTTTATGTTCTTTAGTAGTTTGGTATGAAACTTTTTTTTTTTTTTTTACATATTTTATACAGGATGCATTTTCATTTAGCTTTTGCTTGAGTTATTAATTTATTTAGGTGCACTATATAACTTCACTAGTTCAGAGTCCACCTCCTGCTTACTGCTTAACACCTTGCTTTATCTTGAATGTTTCAAAGAATGGCATTAGTCTTATCTGTCTTGGAATTATTCAATTACTGTTTTTTTAATTTCTCAAAAATACCTACCTATTATATTTACATTGAGTAAGCTGTTGAGTTTAATCTCTATGCTAACAACCAAGTGTTGAACTTTTCACCAGAAAAGGTAGTCCATCTTTATTTTAAAATAGACTGTTTCGAAGACTACTTTAAGTATAAGTATTAATGTAGATTTTGTTGAAGAATTTGACACCCTATTGCAATAATTACTACTCAGTCTGCATAATAATAATGCATTTGTCCTATATAGATCTTTTCCAAGTCACAATTTCATGCATTATTCATTTACTTCATAGGAAAGCTTTTTGATCTGGAGTTAACTGATGAAAGTGATCTGCATCAGTGGCCGCTCCAACCACCACACCACTGACCACTATCAATAACTCACTGAAACACCACATTCATTGTATGCAATGTAGGTATAGTGTCTTGCCTACTGACACAACAACAGTGTGCACTAGCGGGACCAAGTTTCTACTTGTTTGTCATTTTAATCAAGAGGATTGTTGTGATGGATTTTATCAAGCTGACTTTGTGCTTGTATTTGTATGAGTGCTCAGCTGTGGTATTTGCTTTATGAGGGTGTGGCGTTTGGCACTAGAACAGATGACACACAAACACGGCCTCCCTCCATCTTAAACCTTTAGAAGGAGGAGGGATGTGAATGTGCGAGCCGAGTGAGAAATGTGCGCGAGCTGTCACCTCAATGTTACACCACGAGCCGCGCCCTGAACAGCAGCCCTCCACTCAGGGAATCCCCAAACTGCTCACTCACTGCCATCACCTGTCTGCGGTGGACCACGTCCTCCCAAAGCGTCCAGCAGCGCCTCTGAGAAAAAATGTGTCACTCACTTGTGTCTCAAGGTCAGTGACAGGAGCAGGATGCAGCTGTCATCACTTTTACAGAGCATCTGTACAGGCTCAATTCAGCAGTCAGAAAATCCAGCTAAGGTTTTTATAACCTCCTTGACTAAACACTGAAACGCTTACACTTTAGTTTGTGATGTTAGTTAAAATGGGTCATTATTTTTTCATAACCTTCCCTAATGCGAAAACCAATAGATGGCCACTTGACGCCCCCTTGTGGTATACACACGGCATTGCATAGGCACAGTTTTCATTGTGTCCATCATGTATCTATGATCGCTATCTCCAACACATTGCGCTGGACTGCAGCAGCGCTGACTCTGGCACGATGTCCTCTCTTCATTTTTCAGAATCACAAATGAATCGATGAGAAGGCGGGATGCGCTTGGTGTAAAGAGGAGGCAGAGCCGCACAAAGGGGATCATTGTCGGCTGCAGATGCCGCTCTGTGGTGCAGTCGCCTTTTGAACAAGCTCCAATCGCAGCCCATAACGCGACCGGCTGAGGGCGGGGTTAGCCCCCCTCCTTCCCACATCCCTCCGATCCCTGCTGTGGCACAGCGTCCCATTGACAGAGCAACAACGACCCTGTGCGTCTTTGTGGTGGTCCACGGCTTCACGCGCGGAGTTTTTGTTTTTTTTGTTTTTTTAGAACCGGACCTGACAGAACCATGCGCATCTTCAAGAGGTCGCCCGGGGGACAGGTATGAGACCTGTGGCACGCTTTAATGTTGGAGCAGCTGATGGCTAAACCGTGTAGATACTACATGCCCCCCTCCCAGGCCCGGCTCTGGTTCAGCTGCACATGGCCCGCTGGAGCTGCACCCATGGGAGATGCTGATGTCTGCTACTTGTCCGCTGTTCTGTGTGCACCCATTTTTTCACTCGTCCTGACACACGCGGACACCCCATGGGCTTTACGAGCGCCTTCGCCATGAGGGAGATTTCACCGTGATTGAACGGGATCTGTGCACGCTGGACATCTGTGGTTCTTGGGGTTTATTTGGTTTTGTTTGGTTATTTGTGTCTTCACGCGGGAGGGTTTGACCATTTGCTTCCTTTGTGTCAAAGGACTGATAGCGGCATCAGGGGCTGCTGAGTGTAGAAGTCTGGACCGCTATGGCAGGCGGCCGGACTGAGGACCACGGTGCGGAGAACGGCTTTACGCCGCTGGATCGATCCGTTCCGCGACTCCTGCCGCACATTGACACCTCGGTGTTGCCATCTCTGGGGGGGTTCGGCAAACACCAGAAGCAGCTCGTGCTCCTGACCTGGATACCAGCATTGTTCATCGGCTTCAGCCAGTTTTCGGATTACTTTCTTTTGGCACAGCCCAATGGCACGTGCGTGCAGCCGCCTGGTGCTAACGACAGTAACTGGACCCTTCCGTCCACTGCCCCTCCGCTACTGCTCTGGGCCAACAGCACCTTGGACGCAGACAGCGCGCTGTGCGCCTGTAAGGAGTGGAGATTGGAGCTGCACACAGGGCTCAGCCAGAATGTGGTTACCAAGGTAACAAGATAGACCCACAGTGATATGTTCATCATCCTCTTCCCCACTGTACTCTTCATCAGCGGTTAAGCACCGCTGAGTGACAGCTCACCCACTGACCTCAATATGAGCCGCGCTCCCTCACATCTGCCGCCACGTGCAGATTATAACTCATGGATGAGGTTTAAAACATTCTAGCACATTCATAGTCTGTGTGCAGTTTATTTAGCCCACTACAAAACTATGGAGGCTACTTGGAAATTATGGACCTAAACAAAGCTGGCTGATGCCTATGTATTTTAGCATGAATCCTAGATACAAGTTTAACTTGGTGGCAATTGAAAATGTCTATTATAAAAGATGAAGTTCTACTTGCAAAGTGCTATCACATTGCACTGCATGTGTGTATCCACCTATGTTTTGCAGTTTTGTGGTAGCATAAAATACTAGTATGCACCTTTTCTTTTCTTTAGACAAACTTTATTGATCCAGAAGGGAAATTATTTTCCTACATATTTTCTTAAATAACATACATGGACAATATGCCTTCATCGAGAAGGTCACTCATGACCTTAAAGATGGGCACACACACTCATGCTTTTGTTTAACTTCGGGGCTGTTTCACACAGTTAAACAGCTCACCTGGGTCATTGTACATCATTTTCCCAGGGTTGTGCACTAAATAGAACACATTGTACCATTGCACGTGTCCTTGGATTGGCTTCAGATGCTGAGAGCTGCAGCTATGTGCGCACTGACCCATGGCCTTATAGGGGAGAGGAAAACTATTGATTTCTTAGGACCAGCTTCACAGTAATACCTAATTCCAGTGTTTATGATGCTGCTCATTCACTCATTGACACTAGCCGTTCAATAAACTTGGCCTTGGACCTTTTTGCACAAAACATTGAACAAAAAAGTGACCAATAGCCTTTTCGGTCTAATTCTGAATTTTTGTTGAAATGTGGTTTTCTAATCACTGTTGTTCTGTCTTCCTTAGTGGAAGTTGGTGTGCGATTCAGCTTGGAAGGTGCACATAGCCAAGTTTTCGCTGCTGGTGGGCTCCATATTTGGATACTTGGTGATGGGTGTCATGGCTGACTGGTATGCTACTTTTTCCATGCCTTCTTTTTGTTTTGTTTTGTAAAACATGTTTAAGGTGCACTACATAACATTTTTGGAGGGAGCTCAGTTGCATGGATTTTCATTGGGGATCACCTGTCCACAGATCTGACCTGTAATTTAGCCTGATGGTGTAATCTGGCTGTCTCCATGGAGATAAATAAGTTAAATGCCACATACTGTGGAGCATTCAAGACAAAGAAATAACTTCTCCATGGAGACAAGCAGGGGCAGGACTCTCCCTAGAAAATATATAATGTACCTTTCAACTTCATTATTGCTGTGTAAATATTAAACAATTTTGTTAATAGATATTTTTCTAACCTCCATTCTTCTCTCTGTTCTCTACAATTGCTATTATGATCCAGTGGTTACGTCAATGAAGGTCACACTTACTGTTTCAATAGTAAAATACTAAAAATGTAAGATCATCATGACATTCAGTAGCGTGTGAGACTTGTGAAAGAGGCCATTAAAAGTGAAGATTTGTGCATAGACTTTGTAAATGTGGGGTTTTAGAGACAGATCGACATCCATCAGTCTTACAGCGTGACCTACTTTATCCTAATATCCCGTAATGATGGGTTTATGGCTGGAATTCAAAGCTTCCAGATTTACTAAAGCAGTTCACAGCAGTAATCCTACTACACCAACTGTCTTGTACTTCCCTTTAAACATCGTTACATCTATTGGTTTTTGTATAGTAAAATTGTTATAATTGCAGTGCTCAACAGGACATAAAAAATACCGTAAAATACCTAACTAATGAATTGTCAGTTGGCATTGCTTTTCATTATTCATCAGAGGAGTAATTGTTGGTAGCAGCTGTTGGGCACAGGTTTACAATATAGTGCTCTGACAACAATCTGTTGAACTAATGTCACTGTATTTGTAGTGATTGAATTTAAGTAGATTAAAGATAATTAATCTTATTGTGCCCTTAGTCTTGGGCTGTGCAGAATTTTGATTGAGACTGGAGATTCAGTCTTTTCTAATCATCAGTGATAAGGAGGACTTGCCTGTCAAATCCAGAATGATATTTGTCTGTATTTTTTTTATACAGATTGATGTCAGTCTGGTCCCCACACCCTCCATTGCCTCTCAATCAATCATATTTTCAGTGACACAAACAAAGGAGGTGATTGGTCATCTAAGATTTACAAATAAAATCAATTTTATCTCATCTCACAGCTTCAGTTGTACAGAGAGTAGTACTTGGCTCATTGACTCCACAGAAATCCACTACAATTTTCACCCCCCTGTGATTTTATTTATTTATTTATTTATTTTCAATTTGGACAAACCATTCATGTACTTCATTGACAAATCCACCTGTCAATCATGCTCATTTGAAAACTGTGGGATTCACCAGATACCAGACTCACATCGTCGTAAAGTATAGGAATGTACTGGAGGAATGATACTTTTTGTTTGGGCAATGATTAAAAGTCTATTGTTTATGTTCTTGAAATGAACATAAACATGTTTTAACAGAACAAAAGAAAATCATATTGAACATTGTGATTGATCAAAACAGGTAGAAATCTAGACCTGTTTTAACCATGCTTACCTTGCACTGATGAAAACCACTGTTTTAGCAACAGATGTGACAGAGAATCTGTATTGTTTATTAAGTGGCAGAACTGCCCCAACACTCATTGTATTCAACATCCTGATCACCACCTAAGTGTTCTCCTGGGAAAAAGTCCCAGTATTGTGAGTAGGATGAGTAACTATGGAAACAATGTAAAGAAACGATTTTCCAGCCAAGCTTCAGTTCTGACCTGACCCACTGACCCAGTGACCTGCCTTCAACTGTCGCATCCACTGATATCAGTGGAAAACAATAGGTGCATTCCCGCACTCACATCATATTAGCTTTTGGCAATAATGAAGATGGCTGCATCTCTCTTAAATTTAGCTGAGAAGAGTGTGTACAATTTAAAAATATTTAACTGCGATGTTTTATTACTGTTCATAACATCTTTGTAAACTACAGTGTTAGCTGAATAAGTCAAGATTAGTAATTTGTAGAAAAAAATATTTAATTGTGCTGTTTCAATTAGAATTTTAGTTTTGACTGTGATATATCTTGGCTGTGCATTAGTCTAATTGTGATTTCAGTTATTATGCTAAACAATTATGTTGTAATCAGAAATACAATCTTTTAGCTTGTTCAGAGTGATATGTGCTGTACTCGTTCTGCCACTCAAACATGGAGCAAATACACTCTTGTAAATAGACAAAAGTGTTGCAAAACATTACTACTAATAACACAGATATCTATACGCATTCATTTGAACATTATAGAAGCATTTGTTTCTTATATCTTGCGCCTATAGTGTGAACTAGCTGAAACTGTGAGGTGTTGGAACTAACTGAATTTTGGGTGAGGAAAAGTGAGCAAACAGCTACAGCAACAGATACAAATGACACCTATATATATTCACTAAACAAGTTTTAAAAGTATTATTGTTCTGCATTATGATTGTATGATTATGATGTGTACTCTGACACCAAAATTAAGACTTTTATCCATTCAAAAGATATAATATTTACTTTTGAATTGTTAATTGTTTTGAACCTCATGTTGACTGGGTTGTAAGCCTTTCATAATAATTTTTTACATCAATTTATCATTGTACCATCTTTATGCCATGTATTGTATCATTGTGTGTAATGTACATTATATTTGGAGTAGTGGGGAATCTTTGGTTATTTTCTGTAGTACCATAAGTTTGGAGCAGTTGAGGGTTAAACAAGTAACTTCTGCTGATTATAGCTACTCATCAAGTGCTTAGATCTTCCATTTATTTATTGCAAATGTTAGGTTTAGGATTCTTCTGCTTCATGGCTATGTTGTCAGTGTCACTGAGTAATTTCTATATCATTTTATTTTTATACATTTATGCAGCAATATATCACACTTAAAAATAGTTATTGTGACAGGCCTAGTGAGTCAGAGGATTTCCAATGGTAATGAAAAAGCCAGATTAAATGTACTCTCTGCTTATGTTTTCTGACACTTCTCTCTGTCTCTTGCCCTCTCTGCTGTCTGTCCCTAAAGGTATGGTCGGCACCCAGTTCTGATTCTCTGCGTTCTTTTCATGCTGGTGTTTGGTGTGACTGTGGCCTTCTCTGTCAACGTCACTATGTTCAGCACCTTGCGTTTCTTTGAGGGTTTCTGCTTGGCGGGCCTTGCTCTCTCCCTCTACGTGCTCAGTAAGTATACACTGCCACCTGCTCTGCCTGCTCCTCTTATGCATTCTCACATCGTCCCTGTGCTAATCATCCCATCAGTAATGCAGTGTGCAGAGATGGAGGTGACATGTAGGGATATAAAATGGCTTTTCAGTTGTGTATAGACTTCTTTTTGTCTGTTCTTTACCACAAAAATTAAGCCTTTTTTCTGGTGCTTAACTGTAACAGAAATATATTTTAAATTAAATTATAGGTCTTGTGGTCAATATTTACTGCATTACTGAGCACCCCCAAGCAAGCTTTCAAAGTCTTAGTATTCCATTTTTTGCAGTAGTTATGAAAAAATGAATTCTACAATCACAACTGAGGCAGACTTGGAAGTGGATGTTCACTGTTGAGCTCTGTGAAATTAGCATATAATTTTATTGCTTTACTGTGCAATTGTTAATCTGTGTGACTTTTATTTACCCTTAACCCTTAATTAAATAATTACCAATACAAACCATCTTTTGGGGTATTATATAAGCCAGACATGTGCAGACCCTGAACAACAAACATGGTACTAAAAAAGGTTTGGGCTTGCACTGGTCGTAACTCTACCTGTATAGCCTGTAGCCTCTGAAAGTGTGTGCCTGTATCTTTGCTGTTTCAGTGATATAAGAAGTCAGTGATATTTTTATTTCCCCTGAGAATGCTGTTCCCTCTGCACCCTTCTTCAGCCTCTGCTGTCTGCCAGGCCAGGGACAGATTAGTCATACATTATGTGTGGAGGCATTGCCAGACATACAGCTTAGTTTGAATGAGGGGCTCTGCATTAGGCCCCTCTCTGCAGGGAGTCCAATAAACCTTCTAAAAACAAACAAGCAAAATGCAACCTTACATCAGTACAGTAAAAACTGTACGTCACAGCCATAGACAGCTGGGAATGTGGACTAGGATCACATGTTGTTCAAAGTGTGTGGGCAAAACATGAAGCTGTCACTGTAACAAGCATAGTGGGAGTGAGGCAGGGATTGTAAGGACTTTATAACAGGGAGATTAGGGTGATAGATGGTTGAACCTTATTATTTCCATTTAAGAAACAGTTTTGCTGACCTCCTATCATAACTGACAAATTGTTTTCTGTCTCATTTTACTCCAGTAGTGCTGTCATGATACTAAAATTTCAAACTCATTTTAAGGAATACACTCGATAGTACGAATTCTAATACCACGCTAATAATAAAATAACACTCTTTATTTAGACAATAGAATGTCATTTTCAACATTAAATCATAGTACTTTCTCTACCATGTGGCCTTTTATCTGTATATGTCTGTAGTCTGGAGTACTTGTACTCTGATACAGCTTAAGATCATTCTAAAACTATTCAGGAAAATTTCATGTCTGTCCTGTGAATGTAATTGTTTTAGTACATGCTGAAATTACTATCTAGTTTTGATACAGTTTTTAATTAGTATCAATAATTTTGACAACCTTACTCTTAAGAAGCTGCTGCATCTGTAGATTGCTCTATCCTCAGCCTATCAGAAAGATTTAAACAGCTAGTTTACTTTTGCACAGAAACATTGAAAAATTGCTTACAGTGAGGGTAACAAATTGTATCAGTACTTTTTCTTAGCAATAAATATTTTTTCTATCACTAGACCATGTCAAATGAGTAGTAATTTGGTCTGCTTTTAATTTGTTTTTTGGTGAAATTCATGGCCCTCCTGGTGTCGGGACTGCATGGGAATTAGTCACACATTTTCTGTCCTCCTGCTGTTATTACCATCTGTTTGCCAACAAAACAGGTTCACTTGTTTGTTTTATCTTGGCGCTGCATAGAAAATTTTGTATTTGAAGTGTGTCTTTGGAGTTTGCAGAAATTAAATGCCTCGAATGCTCACTGAATACATTATGGACTCTAGGTAAAGGGCCCATATTACACAAAACGGACTCTTGTGAACTTAAAACCATGTTGTAATGTTGTTACTTATACCTGGAGTTGTGTTTTGTTTCATTCACACATGTTGGTGTAAAAGCTCAAAATGCTTGTTCCACCTTGTGATGTCATGAAGTCATAGTTTTCAGCTACTTTTTACAATTAAATTATTAAAATTATCCAAATTATTCTAGTGAAGGTGTTTGGGGTTGAAAAACATAGTAGTAGTAGTCTTCCTGTATTATCATGTGACCTCACAAAGTGGAACAGTGGTGTGGAACATTTTATTTTGAAAGACGTCTATATGCAGGGTTTGTGTGTTATAGATGTGTGACATTATAACATAGATCAGAAAATAGTGTGACATGGGCCCTTTAACAGACTTCCATGTTTAGTAAGTCTTCTACATCACAATAAGCTCTATGTTAATTATTGCACCACATTTGAGGAAGATATTACAATTCATCTCCACTCAGTAAATGCACTCTTGCAAAACAATCAACCATAAAGAGTCAGGTTTCATTGTCTCTTTTGCAATTTACTAAGTGCAATGTAAACAGTAAATATGAGGCACCCTGTTATTCCCGTGTTTGGAGTCCTTGCATTTATGTGAAAGCTGAGCGTGCACTTAAAGCTGTTTCAATTATAAACTGCAGTACTGGTGCAAAGCTGTAAGTAAGCATAACACTGGCCTGATTAATAGTCTGCCCCATGCCGTAGATCAAAGAATAGACACAAAAATAAACATCAGCTATGCACATCCTCTCCTGTGTAACCATGGAGAAGGCATCATGCATGTTTTGCATCTATTTTCTGTTTTAGTTTCTACATTAAAGGTGCACTGCGTAGCATTTCTAGTGGACGGTCTGCCACCTGCTTCTCAGTTATGAGGCTGCAGCACTCCAGTGTTGTGTAGATGCTCGCAGAATCCTTCACTGTGCCTTATGTAAACATGTTTGTGTGCACTGCTGCTGTGCTCTCCACACTTACATCAGCTCTATTTATTGTTTAATCCCTTATTTTAGAGAGAGAATTAACAAATATCAGTGCAGTTTCTTATATCCTTTAAATTGTTTTTCATGATTGTCTTAAAGGATGAAGCTCATAGTTCACTGTTAATCACTGGCAGTATACTTGCTTCAGTTGTGAAATGTGTCAGTGCAAATGTTATTATGTGTAATATGTAAAACAGTCATGTATTTGACCTGGGGTTTGTCATTGAACATAGACTTATTTAGAGATCATATGTTACATGAAACTGACTCTTTAAGCCATATTAGAATGTTGTTACCTCATCAAAAACATACCTGGAGTTGTGTTTTGCTTCATTCAAATGTCTGAGTAATCCTTTATTATTAGTCTGTCTACATCTCGAAAGCTCAAAATGTTCTGTTCTACCTTGTAATGTCATACAGTGGGTAGTTTTCAAGTTGACAGCTACCTTTTCCATTTAGTTCAGCAGAGATTGGTAATTTTAGGGCTGAAATCATGCAAATGATTCTAGTGAGATGGAGTTTAAGAGCACAGTGGAGCACTGCCTATATTACTGCATAACATCTGTTTGAGAGAAGAGAACTCAGCCTAAATATGGAGGATTTGAGTGTTAAAGCTGTATGAAACAGAATACAGCTCTGGGCTGTTTTTGATGAGGAAACAACATTATACCATAGATCAGAAAATAGCCCAATATATGACCTTTAATACTAGGTGTATTACATTTATGTCTAAGCCCTTGTCTAGACTGCAAAAGCACAGTGAAGAAGCAGTCGAGAATGTAATTATATTTTCTGTTCTGAGGAGTTCAAATATGTTGTTATCGTTACTAGTGTAGTTGTAAAGCTATGGGGTTTCCTATGTATCTGCTAGTATATTGTATGTTGAGAAAGTAAATATAAAATAGCAAGTATGTCTGGAGTTTTGCAAAGGGTTTATCTGTGACATTTTTTTTAAATCGTTGTTATTATTTTTTGTCTGTCACCCTTTGGCCAAAAACTGCTGTGGGAGGCTAAGCCCTGCTGACTCAGCTGAACTCATGCTGTGACCTGTCAGGCTGCTACATATGTCTTCATCACCAGAGCAAAGCTGATCATGTAACAATGAACAATGTGTTAAAATACATCTGAATATATTTTGTTTTTATTTATTTATGTATTTAACTTTAATTAACTTAAGTCCCATTGACATGACTAGTCTCTTTCTGGCAGCACAGATCAAACAGTACATCAGCATATATTTAAGCAAGTGCAAGAATTTGTTAAGAGTTAAAAACAGTTACAAATCACACATCTCAATTCCAAACCTTTTAGCTTAAACTGACCTATTAAGAGCAGTTCTTTTAGTTTCCAGCCCCTTTATGAGTTACTCCAGGATGTTGGTGCAGAATACTAAAATGCTGCTTTGCCAGTTTCTGTGTGAACACTTGGTACAGAAAGTAACACCAATTACACAATGACTGATAAGAGTCCACACCACCAAATGAATTATTTGCCCAATAAAACCATTTAACATAGCCTAATGTATGCAATAAGTACCCCATAATTACACTTAGAGAATAGTAAATAGGCCTGTCACAATAATTATAATATCTACTTATCATTCAATATATGAAAGCTGGAAAGAAATATTTGGGGGCTCATTATTATAGAAGCTTTCTTTGCAATAGTGAGGAGATTTTAGCCATTTGTTATATAATAGGATAAGATTTGAGCTATAGAGGGTTGAATAAATAACTGCTACAGCTAATTATCGGTTCATCATGCCATTTTCTTTTTAACAATACTGTCTATTTTAAAAATGATTTACTGGGATTATCCTGCTTTGTGTCAGCGGCATAAAGTAGTTTCAATATTATGTTTATTGCTGTATATATTTGTTGTCGTGACAGGTTCTTCACGCTACATCTCTAGTGATTGTATTTTTTTTTTCTGTAGCCTGCCTTCTTTCTCACATCTCTTGTACTGCAGTGTATAGTATGGCCATGCTGTTGAGAGCCACTCTGTTCTCATGCCCCAGGCAAGGTTAGCAGAGGAGCAGTGGACAACACTACAGCCAATGTGAGGCAGAGTTGTCAGCCATTTGTCATCAAAGCTAGAACACTCTATTTAGATCAGCTGCTTTATGCTGGGACCCTTTTGTTTCTTACTCCTTTTAAAAGAGTTTTTTTCTGGAGTCGCTGCTGTCACACTTTGAGGAGGGACAGTGGAGAAGCCTGAATGAAAGGGTATGAATAGGGGAAGGAAGGGGGTATGCGGTGGGGGATGGGGGTTACAGAGGGCAGTGAGTAACAGGGTAGAATGGGCAGACAGAGGGGAGGGGGTCAGCTCACAGGGGGCAATGAGATAAACAACACAAGAAGAAGCATTCACCCACTCTGCTGGAACAAAAGGCCTTTGGCTCGGCATGTTTGTAAGCCCACATTTGCATCTGCAACTTGTGTATTTGGGAGCACGCTGGAGTTTTGGCAATAGTTTAATGAGTTTAGACAAGAATAGAAATGTACTTGTCAAATTTTGAAATGCAATATACCTCTGCAGAGATCTACTTTATACTACTCTACTCTAACTACTTTATGCCACTGATACAATAATAATAATGTAAGATAATCCCAGTAAACCATTTTTAAAGAGACAGTATAATTTAAAAGGCATAAGCTGCAACAAATAAATAGCAGAATGAACCAATAATTAGCCAAAAATGTCAGTTATTCCACTCTCTACAGCTTTAATCTTATTGTATTACAACAAAAATACCCCACTTTAACAAAACAAAATGTACACATGATAAATGTTGATACCCAAAATATATCGTTCCAGTTACTATATACTGAATGATAAGTTGATATAGTGATTGTTATGACAGGCCTATTTGTCATTGTCAGGTGTCAGGTTGTTTTAAGGGGCAAAGAAAGTTGAAATATGTAAAATAAGTGATAAAACAATTGGCAATATGCTGATTTAAACTCTAAACTGAACTCATTTGCGTTGGGTTTGTGCTGTCAGAAAAGGTCATATATAAATTCTGCTTTTATGACAAACAGCCCCCCAGAGGAGCCTTGGCCGACAGAAGAACCTACACCATTTAGATTGAAATGTCAGTCTCTGCTCAGCTCAGTAGTGATGGGTACTGCGTAATAGATGGTTTTAGAGATGCAATGCCCTTGCCAAGGTACAGTTGATTTGTCCCTGTTGGTTTGCCTCTCTGATCCAGGCCTATTGATTCATGTGGACAGGGGTACCACAGAGAACTGTCTGCCACAACACCGCCATTGTCACAGCTGTAAACCAAAGCACTGAAGCGCCACATGGCTTTAGTTAAACATAAAATCAACTTGAATTGTTTATTTACAAAAACTTGTGTATTAAATTCCCAATGTGACTATGATTTCACCTTGATTATTTCTTACATTTATTTTTTGTCCTGTATGTTTAGATTTATTTAGATATTTGTATTTAAAAACACATATTATTTATTACGTATAAGCATGAAATATTTAGTACTCTAAATATTTAAACCTTAAATACTTAGGTTACTAAATACTTAATACATATAAATGCATAATCTGATTGAACGCACCTCCGCTTCTTTGTTACACAATCCTTTTCTCAAAGTGTATATTGGCTTTAGTACTTGGTGGGAAAAGTCATTGGTATTCTGCTCCAGTCTCGCTTCCACAATGGGAAGTGGCAGCACAGGTTTCTGAGCCCCCTCCCTCTCTCTGTGGTCACCTTCAGAAAGACCTTGCCATATGGGCCAGGCCATCTGGACTGTACCATGTTACAGTGTGCAGGGGAAGGGATAAGAGCTTAGTCAGAGAGGGAGGTGGGAAATTAAGGGTACAGTTACAGCTCTAATACTCGGGGAAGAGGGGGGCCTTATTGGTATGTGCTGATGTGGTTTGTAAAGTGTGGTGTTCAACCGGCATGATCTCAGGGGAAGGATCAGCGATACAAGCCCTAAATAATTAAGTAGAGAAATTCAATCTAATTCTATCATTAAACAAACAGACAGATCATGTGGATGAGCCATTATGAGGCAGGCTTTATGCTTGTACTTCATCCATACTGCACAGACTCTGAATAATTCACACTTCTACCATTGCTAATCTCAACCATTCTCTTTCATTAGGGATTGAGCTGTGCTTGCCGGACTGGCGCTTCTCCATGACCATGGTGGCCAGTTTTCTGATGGTAGGCGGGCAGCTCCTCATGCCCGGAGTGGCTGCTCTGTGCCGTAATTGGCCTAACCGTGATGACTGGCAGGTCCTCCAGATCGTCATAATCTCTCCATTTGTTCTGATGCTGCCGTACGTTTGGTGAGTCTCTCCCACAGAGGGAATCCATAGCGTGGGCTTGATTTTTCACTTGCTGAGCCAGGCATCGGCTTGCACTGCTCTACACAGCACTGGCACACGGCACTCAGACTCAGACAATACTTTCTTTCTCTTATTGTCAGCCTTCTTGCTTTTAACAAACAGTCTGTTCCCATTCTTCTCTTCACTTCTGTTCATGCTTTCGCTCTCACTTTAGGATCTTTCCTGAATCCCTGCGCTGGTTGCTGGCCACTCAGCAGTACAGGCGATCCAAAGCCATGATGTTACGTATTGCCAGAAAGAACAAGGTTGACATGACAACTGAACCCAATGGAGTTTTAACTGGTGAGAAAGAATGCTCAAAGTGGAATCAAAAAGCATATGAACCCATGAAGAAATTTTTATTTTGGTAGTTTTGTGTAAAAAAAAATCCATCCTAATGTAATTATTGCCAACTATTTCAAATCAGCATTACACTATCTGTTAAAATAGAATGTAATGTTAGACACCATAAACATTTACAGCCCCATTTCTCACAAGCTGTTAACAGACTGCTCTCAGAGGTGATGTTTTTACTTTTTACAGTCCAACTACTTGATAATATGTATTCAAACCAGTACCTTCCCTCCCTTTTAAAATGGAATACATAAACCCCACAGCGATAGTTGATTTACTCCTCACTGTGACTCCTGTGAACTTCTGTCTTTGATACTGCCTCCCCCATGAGGTTAGATAAGGGATGGACATAGAGTTATGCTCTACTCACTCAGATGCAGGCTCCTTAGAGGCAGGTTTCTCATTTCCTCTTAAATGAGAAAGGTCTTAAGGTGTACTTCTTATTTTTTTCACCAGAGCTGGAGCAGGAGCTGCATAAGAAGCCTCAGAGGAGCTGCATTGTCAAGATGATGAGCACAAGGAACCTATGGAAGAATATAGTGGTGCTGTGTGTGAACTCGTAAGTGCATTTGGTTTGCTTTACCATATTGCTTATTGTCAAGTAGGGTTGCACTTATTTTAGTAGTAGATTAGTCTGGTATTATTTCTATTGTACACTGAGATTTTTAAATACATTTTAGTCAAATTAGGTAAACACTTCTGACTCAAGGTGTCTAGCTTACAAATATTTTCAAATGAAGTATATTATTTATGAAAATCAGAAATGTGTTTATTCTCAATTCTCTCTTCATGTTTTGATCTAAAAATGTCTTTGAAATGCATGAAAGGCATTTGGCATGTTTACAGTGTGTTTAGTACAGATGAAGACTAACTAATTCACTATTAAATTAGTCCACAATTATTTTAATCATCAGCTAGTCGATATTATTCAATTAATTGTAACAGCCCTATTGCAAAGTGGAGTAGAGGTACTACATGAATATTTTGGGACAAATCTCTGATAGTTGTTTGTTCCACAGATTGACAGGTTATGGGATCCACCACTGTTTTGCCCGGAGTTTGATGGACCCTGAGGCACGGCCCACAGCTCTGTGCCATGCGGACTATTACACCATGGCGGGCATCGCCGTGGCGACCTGCCTAGCCGTGTGCCCCGCTGTGGGACTGATGGGGCGCAGAGGAGGTCTGCTGACATTCATGATCATCACAGCCCTTGCCTCACTGCTGCAACTGGGTCTGCTCAACTGTAAGTCATTTGGTACAAGGGTAAAGTAAATAACGTAACTATTACCTTACTAATAAACTGTCCTTATTCTGTTATAAATGTAGTGATTGGAAAGTACAGTCTCCGCCATGATACAGGTATATAAACATATACATTTAAACACATTGTTTTGCTCAGTATTATGTAACAAAAAGTCCTTTTTAACTTTTTTCTAGTTCTACGAGACAGTCTGAACAGAAAGTTCTCTGTGGCATTTTCCATCATCGGCATGTTCTCATCTCATGCCGTCAGCACACTCAGTATATTCTTCTGTGCTGAAATTACACCCACTGTCATCAGGTGAGTCTCGTACATGATTAAAACTACATGATTTATTTCATCAGATGTGTTTTAGTCTTGTTATTTGGAGTGTGTGTTACAATATAATTAAAGGGTATATTCTTTGGGGAGCTCAGACTGTCTTTTGGCTCCCCCTTGTGGTCATTCTCTTATACAATCTTCAAGTCATTTCAGCGCTTCGTTTATTTTTCTCTGTTTGTCCTGTTTTGTGTCTTGCAGGGGCGGAGGGCTTGGTTTAGTTTTGGCCAGTGCCGGCTTTGGGATGCTAACTGCACCCATCATGGAGCTTCATAACCAGAAGGGCTACTTCCTACATCACGTCATCTTCGCCTGCTGCACTCTGCTGTGCATTATCTGCCTCCTGTTGTTGCCAGAGCCCCGGGGCCAGCCTCTGCCTGAGAGCTTAGCCGATGGAGAGACTTTCACCCGCCAAACACTCCTGCACCCAGGGGAGCAACATCTCCTTCTGTCTAAAATCGACAAGGACTACTCTAGAGTCCATGACACACCATTACACCTCACAGCCACAGGGGGCGCCACAGCAGCAGTTGCTACCGCTCTGGCAGCGGTACCAGCTTCTTACGCCCTGGCCACTGGAGGGGAGGTCATTGGCAATCATGCTATAGCCAATGGACTGTGAGCATCTCACATAATACACACTAAATGGTACATAGGGACAAAATAAAGATGAGCCGGTGTTTCAGTGACTATGATTATACTAGGAGTTACCACAAATATTGTACTGGACTGAGTCTGGCAGAAACTGTTGATATGGAAGTCGTGGTGTTGGGGTCTTGCTGTGTCTGCTCTTAATGACTGACTTAAAGATGAAGCAGACTAATGCAAGTACAAAGTGTAGAGCAGAGTGCTCTGACGCGCCTGTCGTGTAGCGGTGGAACTTACTGTACATTTCTTTACATGTTCTTTTGCACTAAATGTTAGAAACACAATCAGCTGATTGTGTTTAAAAGCCAGCACATTGGAAAAGCAGGGATAGGCTAAACCACTACCACTCTTTTGCATGAAAGGGCACAACTAGTTTTACTTGTTGTTTCTTTTAGTCCCTACACATTTCCAATGTGGCACTTTATCCTCAGATGTGAGGTCAGTGTAGTCAATTGAAATGACTGCTGCTGAAGTGGGTGTATGATGGTTGTCTGAGAAAAACAGCCGGAGACCTTAGCAGACTGTAGCCTATGAAGACTGTGGTTAGTGCTCTACGCCTGAGAGCTGAATGGACTGTGTGGTGTGCAATGGTATGTCTTATGATGCTCTACAGCATTTCAATGGCTTTACTTTGATTGCCCTTCTTTAAACAGGGCACGCAATGTATTTAGGAAGAATAAAAACAGTATTTATTTTGTCATGTTGCCCAGGGCACTGCAAATACCTCTGTATTTATCAAACATGCCCACTGTTTGTTTCTGTACTGTGGTAATGTAACTCTCCTAGGAACTGACTCCCACCAAAAAGCACAACAATTCAAAGCAAAAATGTGTCAACTAGAATAGAGCCTCTGTCTCCTGGTAGAGGCTAATTGTGAGTAGTGTTCTCTTATAAACTCAGCTTTGTAATAGTAACCTTTAGGGCTGTATCAAACAAGACGTGTTCATGTGCCAATGCCATCTATCTTGTTTTTAGACGTATGAAGCACATCCCATAGATACACCATCAACACATTCACACTTCTAGTCATTTTCCATTTAAAATATAGCACGCATTTCAACATATTTGCTAGTTTGACACAAAATGTTTTCAAAGTGTTATTTTTTTAATATGACACATTTGTACAAAAAAGCCATAGGCATACATGTTTTGATATAAACCAGTTAATTTATTATATCAATAAAATACTTGATGTAACAAAAGCATGATCTGTGTTGTGTTGTTATTACAATATTATTAGAATGTTAATGAGCAGCTGCCTTTTTGTTCACCAAATATAACTGTATAAATTTGTGTTTAAAACCATTCAGGGTGAAGCTCGAGCTCCTTCTTGATGCGATTCTCCACTAAAAGGCTTAAGTTGCCGTCAGTGACAGCAAGACTGTAGCTCACAAACACTTGTTTTTTGGTCCTCTTTGCTGTGAAATGAATTAACATATAACATAATAAGATATAAAATATTAGAAAAATGTATAAATGTATGTATGATTTTTTTAAAAACGTACCTAATCTTTGTGCCAAGGTGTTTGCAGCTGTATTTGATGGATCCCCCATGACTAGTGAAGATAATGGCATTGAATCCTAGAGAAAAAAAATAAAGTTATTGATACATGGGCTTTTATTGACAATTATTGATACAATTGATGGCAACTGACTTATTTCTAATTTGCATCCCGACTTCAACTCCACTAACCACTCAACATTAAGATTGTTACAATGTCATGTTGTTACAGCTGATGAGAGTAATGTGTGTTGTCAATGTGTGGTTAAATTAGTATAAAAATCTACAGATTAACTGAGAGATATTTTGATGGTTATTTGTGAATGTAACCCATACTTTCATGATGTAACCACACACCAAAATCAAATCCAGTTATTGGGCTATCCGACTTTACTGGCCGTGTAACTATACCCACTGTAATCCTGGACGTACACTGCAGTCAGTCTAAATTATGCTGATTTCTTCAGAATCTCGTTTGTGACATTGAAAAAAAAAAAACAGTTTATTCTTGTAAGTATATTTTTAGAAGATTGAATAGTCTTCTCCTGTTATGCTTGAACACTAGAGGACTGATCTGTAGGCCTAATACACCAAAACTGCACTATTGCAAACCAAATTTGAGCACAGAAAACTTACATATTTGCTGGGCATCGATACAGCCAAGTTGGACAAGACTGGGGAAGAACCGATCCAAAGGAAAAAGCCTTCATTCAATTTCATAACGTGGAAGTGAACGACTTGCTCCAAAATCTTTTCAGAGAAGTTGTGCACAGATATGGGGCCAAATGATGCACTGTTTTCTGTCTCGCTCATTTTGATTATCTATTTATAACGGTATCTAATAAGTGCAGCATCTGAAAAGCATTCATCAAATAGAAACAAAAAGTAACTTCCGGGTTTTGCGTCAGGCTAAACTAATCGAGTTCCACGCTGCATCGACCGATCAACACGACACAGTTGCTTTACTTCTATATTTCTACATTTAACGTGAATTTTCTTGCATACAGAAATTAAGCAGAAACATATTTATTGCAGGCTCCAAAATGATAATGTCCATTTTAAAAATCAGTCTTCAAGAAAGTCTTCCACCATTTTGTTAAATTCAGCTGTATATCTCAAGTGAAGATTGTGTTTTCCTTCTGGCATCAGATGCAGCCTAGATTTTCAGAGAAGCTTAATGCAGGTTATTGTCCATTTAGTTTGATAGTGTATATTGTATATTTAATCACAGTTTGTCTTACCTAGATTCTTTGATGTGTTTGAGAAGGTACTGAGCATGGAAGCCAGGCACCATGGGGTCCTTCTCCCCATGAATAATAAGAGTGGGGCAGCTAATTAAAGGCAGAAGATCCATACATATATTTCCTGGGGAATAAAAAATATAATTAGTCAGTAACAGTTCCATTCTGTAAAAATATAGCCTATTCTTATAAGAGTTCATTTGTAGTGATTTCTGCCCCATCTTAAAAGTGTTATGGCACATTAATGAAACTTTTAAAGTTAAATTAGCAAACCTTCTGGTCTTCTTCCAAACACTGAAATTCCTTCCACCCAGGCTTCCCATGTTTTGGCAAAATCCTCAGCACCATACACTTCCTCCATGGGTTTCCTCATCCTGGTGCTCCATCGGGACACATCTCTGACAGCTGCAGAGGGTCACAATCAGGTAAAAACACTATAGGCTTACATTAGAGTCTGTATAATGACCTCAACTTATTTGACTTCTCACCGTTGTAAAGTTCCAGGTCCTGTTTTGAAACAAAAGCATTAGCTCCCCAAACAACTAATTTGTTGATCATGTCAGTGTTTTTGGCTGCTGCAATCATTGCCGTAATACCTCCATCACTCCAGCCCAATAAAGAAAAGCGGTCAAAGCCTAAAGCCTGTAATGCAGAACAGATAAGCCATGAGAAGACGACAATATTGTGAGTTCATAACACTCTAACCTTCATCAGATCCACTGCATCCTTTGCATCCCTTTCAAAGAAGTCCTCCGGGAAGTCTCTGTCTGGAGGTCTGGATTTTCCATATCCTCTGGGATCCCACCCCACAACTGTAAAGCGCTCCTTATTCAGATGTTTTAACTGAGGCTCAAAATCTGTCCGAGTGCTGCCTGTGGGACAATAGAGGCAGGGAATATGTCAGTCACCTGTCACCTGCCATGGCACAGCAAAACTGAAAAATTAGGTGAGATTAATGAAGCATAATAGATTCTGTAACTTGCCAAGTGCCCCAGGAAGCAGCAGCAGAGCATGTTTTCCTTTGCCTGTCTGCTCATAGTGCAGATCCACTCCATTGACATGCTTTTTGCCACAGGTCACTGAAGAGCTAGGGACAGAAATACAAAAAAAGGCTACACAATTGACAGAAGTTGCAAAAGTGAAATTACAGAAATACAAAACACTATCTTAGATACAAGACTACATCGAATAAATATATTTTGGAATGGCTTCTGTTTGCCTGCAGGCTGTTCTCATGTTGACAGACATATGGTGCCATCTAGTGGATGATATGGGGCCTGCCAGTGCACTTGGAGAAAAGCAAGAAAATCGCACTTTCCAGAGTAATTGTGCATGGTGTCGTTTAAGTTGGCAATGTAAACCAATTCTGTGTGATTTGACAGAAAAAACGCGTCGGTACACAGAGTCTGAAATCAGTTACCAGTAAGTCTGTATCGCAGCCATCGTTTCCCAAAATATAGGTTTGATCGAGGTGACGCGTCTTCCGAGTAAGAACATTGCCATTCTTCGAACGCTGCAGACTTTTCTGATCTGGCGGACTTTGAGTGGTTTAAAGCCTCATCGAGGTAGTGATAGATTAAAAGAGCTCCACGTTTACAGAACCAGGAAGCAACAGTTACTTTGGTCTGGATACGTGGACATTTATTGACAAAATGTTAAAGTGAAAGTGCCATCAAAATATCTATATGGAAAAGGTAGGCCCAGTCAAACCAAAAAAAAAAAAGCCACCAGTTGAAAGAAACTATAACATTACACTTTTGAAGGTTAGAGTCGCTGTAAAAGGGCATAATCAGCGGAGCCGCTACATTCTACTGTTAAAGCTGCACTGTGTAACTTTCTAGTAACCATAACTATTTTTCATTTATTTCACTATGAGTGTCTCTACAGATGGGGACAAGGTGATGCAAAATTATTCAGGCACTGTTTAACTCTGTAGAAAATGTATTTATATTTACTCAGGATCCTGCCAGACATAATAAGTCAAAATAAATAATAGCACATTCTGCTTCACTTAGCTTATTCAGTGCAGTAGTTTTACAGTAGTACCATATCTGTGGCTTTTCTTGACTACAACAGTATATGAAATACGTCTGTTGGGAACAGGTTTCTTTGGGGACTAAATCAATATAAAATTCTAGAAGTGTAATTGAAGAATGAAATATGTGTTTTTTGTGTGTATATATATGTGTGTGGTTTCTTTTCAAAACTTCTGGTCTTTTCTCTAACTGCAGGTTTTCCAAGTTTTGGTAAAACCTCAGTACAATACACATTCTTGATGGGCTACCTCATCATGCTCCATCAGGAGATTTCTCTGATGGCTGCAGAAGGTCACAGTTAGGTAAGAACACAACACTTCAGCATCAACCTCAAGTCATTTGGTAGCAAAGATTTCAGGGTTTAGTCACGTGCAAAAGCTTTTTTGTTTGTTTGTTTGTTGTTGTCATACCATCCAGCAGCAATTATTGAAAGGTCTATAGAAGTCTGAATTTATACTACTACTTACTACTACTACTACTACTACTACTAATAATAATAATAATAATAATAATAATAATAATAATAATAATAATAACTTTTTTTTTTAACTTTGTGCCAGTTTTTGTTTCACATTCACATTACAGAGCTATTATTCATAAATGAGGTAAACGAATCCGCAATCAGCTAATTCTGCCGTGCAATTCTGACCTAACCTTCAGTTCAACTTTAAACTATAGGGATTTTAGAAAGTTATGATTGCCCATGAACCTAACCTGTTTACCTTATTCATTATGTTTACTCATAAAAAAAGCCCCATACGTTGGCGTACAGACATACACCCACACAGATGGGGTAATGCTTCTGGGGCAATGGTGCGTCATGCCGTTTGTCTGTCTCTTTAGTTTTGCCCCGTAATGCACTACATGGGAGTCTACAGATCTTCTTCTAATGCAGGCAGCTTTTTGGAAACGCCTCCACTAGAGCTCTGCCTGTCACTCAGTGAGTGAGTAGTGCCACATGCAGCCAACCACAGAGATACACACTCACGCATACACACATACATGCACAGGAACAAAAGGCAGTGGGGCTAAAAATACCTCTATCACTTCAGAGCTATGTGCAAAGATACACTCAAGAGCTTACTGGAAATGCAGCAAATAATGTAAATGATAAACAACTTTTACAGAAAGCAAATATGTTCATTTTTTCCATTTTTTTTCTTCAGTCAGTCTGTCCTTGACCTTGATCTTGACTTGTTTTCAGTTTGTACTGGCTTGGGAAAATTTTAATGATGGTTTTACATAGTTACTTACAAAAAAACAAACAAACCAAAACAAAAAAACATTGTACAAGCAGTAAATAAAGTTGTTTTGAATTCCTTATTGCTATGGCTATGGTGCAGATTCTTCATCACTTGGAAACCATTAAATATTGATGAGTTACTCATCTCATTCTCATCATCACATAATTGTATAAGCCAGTAATGGTAAATACAGATACAGTAAAAATTTTATAATACAGATACAAATATAGAGAGTTGCAGAATCTTGTCACTAACAGAAATGATTATCAGAGTAAAATACAATATAATCAATAGGAAAAACTGCCTCCTGCCCTCCATCTGGGAGTATGCCATCATGACATACTATAGATACTTGTGATACATGTAATGTATGGAACTCTCCTTTGTGAATTTAAAGATGGACAATGTAACTTATCTCGCTGAGGGTCTTGTATGTGCTTGTCCCTGTGGGGATGTTATTGCAATGTCTACAATGTTCCACCCTATGGCATTACATTTATCAAGGTCTATGGAAACAAGCACTTGATGCCAAGTTGCAGATCAGAAGAACAGAATGCATATTGTTCATGGTATATCAGAGCTATAAATACACTTGATGAAATGCATGCTAGACTTAAGTGCCATACTGTGAAATGTTTAAGGGCCTGTATTATTTTCTGATATATGTTATAATGTTGTTTCCTCATCACAAACATAGTTGCTGGAGTTGTGTTTTGTTTCATTCACACGTTTAACACACAAACCCTGCATATATTCATATTTAGTGTTCTTCTCTTAAACAGAAAACAATGTTCTACCTTGTGGTGTGGTAATGTAGGATATGCTTCACTGTGTTTTTAAACTCCAGATTTCCCAGATTTTAGCCTGGAATTTCCAATCTCTACTGAACAATAGGTAAAAGGAGCTGTTAACTTGAAAACTACCACTTCATGACATCACAAGATTGAACATCGTGAGCATTTTGGAGATGTAGACAGACTAATCATAAAGTGTTACTCAGTCTTACTACAATATGTGTGAACAAAATAAAACACAACTCCATGTGTGTTTTTGATGAGGTGACAACTTTCTAACAAGGCTTCAGTCTAACAAGATTAAATTTTGTGTAATTTAGATCTTCTCCATGGGGACAAGCAACACAATGCACCTTCATTTGTACGTGAATACTGGCCGCTGCCCAAACTGACATCAGCCAGTCATGCAGTGCTCCTTGTATGGTGTCCTCTCTGCGCAGGCGACAGCGATAGCCTGACTGTGACCCACTGTTGGATGACATCGCTGAGCCCTTTGACCTTCTCCCATCTTTGTCTGTTTTGGTATGTGCTCATCCACATCGCATGACCACAGCCCGACCTAAATATAAACAACCAAGCCTCTGCTAAGGTCATGTTACGTCAGTCTAGTCTGTATTCTCCATCACGTCCTTTCGCTCTGCACGCTGAGAGCTTTACGATAGCTTTACCATACCTTGGAAGCTGTCAAACGTGAAGCTTCGGTCTTAGTTGGTGTAGGAAGTTTGTCAGGCAATTTGGAAACTATTGGATTGCTGGATCAGCTGGAAAACCAATAATTGTATGAGGAAATGGGGAATGGTATTAACAAGGTAAAGCTATTGGTGATTACGTTTGAAAAATCTGAATTTGTTATTAATTAATGCCTTTTATTTGTTTTTGTTTTTAATGTTTTAGGTCCTTCCTGGTCTTTATCTCGGCAATATCAAAGGTAAGCCCCCCCATTTTGCTTGATACTTCAGGCTTGTTTCAGTTCCTTGTGAAAATATTAATTGTGGTGGGATGCTACGATGAGTTTGGTTTCTATTAAAGAGAATCACTGAGAAAGTAAACACCAATTTGAGGCTAAAAGTCACATTTGTGGTGAATTTATTCCTGTGTGGGTTAATATGAAGGAGGAAGCAGGGCTAATGCAGGTTCAGTGCAGTGGGGAATGTCCCACTGCAGTGTGGGGGCGTCCCTCCATGAACTGCGCTTCATGCAGACACGTACTAACCTGCATAAACTGGTAAATTTAGTACAGAAAAATATTCTGGGGGATTTAGAAAGTTTATAAATATATATGAAATGCTATAATTAAACCGTTCACACACTATACCTGTTTCTGATAGCTAGTACAGAAGTTGTGAATTTGTGCTAAACAGTTTAGGAAAATATTTTGCAACAATTAGACATTCTATCACTAGTATTATTATTTATATTATATTATAATTTGTTCATCATTTTAAACATGTAAATCTTTAAAAGAACACTGACATTACTGCTAAACTAATCAATTGGCACCGTTCAGCTCTGTTCAAATAGTTCAAATGTAGGTAATTGTTTATATGGAAAACATCACCAATATTGTCTCTACTTAAAACTCAGTTGCTAAAAGGATAACACAAGTTTAGGATTTTTTATGTTATTTTTTTTGTTACAAAAATAGAGAAGCTATGTGTATATTTTAATAATTTGTCCTTCCAAGGAGTAATTTAAGGAGCATATGACCTTTGTGGTAACTACTTTTTAATACTTGTAAATCTCATCATACTTCAACACTCGTCTTTTATATCACACAGATCATAACTTCACTGTTGCATAACAGTTAGGGTGAAATCCAATAAACCAATGAATTAACTACAATGCAGTAAGTGAGTACTGATCCAGTTGTTTTTGGCTGTCCTTGATATAGACCCTAATGTTGTGAATACTGTAGTGTAGTGTGTATTTGCTATGGCACTTGTACGTAGGGGTCTGTGCCCACTGTCAGTGCCAGGTCGTGAACTGACACCTTATAAAATATTTATTTCACACTCAACACTTTTAGACCTGTGTCATTTAGTGACTGCAGTTATATAACACTAATGTAGACAGATTTGGCTATTTATATCAAAAGTTGGAAGGTACTGTACATGATACCATTGTGTGAAATCAGTGCAAAGGCATGCAAGGCCTCAAGAATACGTTGGCTTGCAGCATATAAGCAAAACATGAAAAAGTGACCTCAGGATACATCTGCCCAAACTAGAAAACATTTGGCTTCCTTTCAAAGAACAAAATTTGATTAAAAGAATTACTGTTTCTTGCTTTTGGGACAAGCTGTTGGGCTGTTTTAGTATCATTGGTTTTCCGGTTTTTCTTTCAGTTCAAAACCAGAGCAGCAGCTTTGAGCCACTGGGTCCAAAATTTGCTTGGGAACTGTTTGGGGAGGGTGGGTAAACATGGGTAGAAACATTTTCAACCATATTTGTGTTTTTTTAATCTGCAGATGCACAAGATAAAGAGCTGCTTAAGGCCCATAACATCACCCACATCCTGTCCATCCATGACAATGCTGCACCTGTGCTGGAGGTGAGCAGGCCGGCCTTGTAACTGGCACTATACATGTAAACTGTATTTATAAAAAGAGTGATCAGAAGAGTTGAATTCTCTCAATCCATAATATTTAATCCCACAGTAAAATGTATATATGAAAATATGTGTTCTGTCTTCTTTACCAGCAATGAAAGAAGCAAGTACAAAAAATGTCAATGAAACTTTAGGTGGTTTCAATCTTTCATCATAATGCTACAATTTCTCAACATTATGAGCCAATTGTGCAGTGTTTTCAGTTTGTTAATCATTTGTTGTTTCTTGAATTAAAGGTGCACTGTATAGCTTTTTAGGACAATTGTTGGTCTCCATGGAGATGGTATCCCATAAATTCAGCATTTATTTTATAATTAAAGGTGTTTTTTTTGCTTAGAATACATGCATTCTTGCTGTGAATAACATTGCCTCTCAACAGATCTTACCTGTATTTTGGCGTGAAGCATCACCTGCTTGTGGCATGTTGCAATGCTGTGGAACATTCTAGGCAGAGCAACATCTCCAGAGAGACAAACAGGTGGCATACCCTCCACCAGAAAAGTAACGCAGTGCGCTTTTAATATAAGTTTGCTTTTGTTTAATAATAAAAGTAAAGGTTTCAAAAGTTGTCTGACACAGTTACTAATTAAATGCACTAAACCATAAACCATATGATTAAAATATACCCTTATAGAACTACACTATAAATACACTGAGTAGTTCCAATATTGTTTTGGAGGCTGGAAGCAATGGTTTTCAGGGTCCACTTTCATAACTTTCACGTTCTTGATGAAAGCAAACATGAAAACTGCTCGGAGCTTTCTGTAGACTTTCTATCTTCATGTTATGTTTCAAAACACTGAAATGAAATGACAACTTCCATAATAGTATCACTACCTAAACTGGTTAACCACCAATACTAGATATGAGATTAACTCAGTATGGGAGTTGGAGCTGACCTACTAGCTGACCTACTTTGTCTGGAATGCTGTCCAATTAAACTTGCATTAAACACTTGCATTAAACACTTGCATTAAGCGTAAACTTGTAAACTTTTCTATCTCCATGGAAACATCACCATTGAGGGTTACTGGTCAGATCTACTGTTTGGCAAACCTGCTCACAATAATGTATGTTTTTCAGTGTTGTGTTAGTCAATTGTTTTAGCAATAAAACATCTGTTACTGAATGAGTACTAGATAGATAAGTTTTATATCATACTTCTAGGACTAAATTTCTAGTCAGTGTTATAGCATCTTCATGGAGATGACAGACCCTTCATTAGCAAAGTTACAGAGTGCACCTTTAAATACATATGTACATTTATTTCTACAATTGTGCTAATTATAATGGTGACTCAGTACAGATGGGATTTTGCATAATTTACAGACTAACCGTAACTGATTGATTTCTTGGAAGACAATGAGTAACCACCAGGTATTCGCTCCAATGCACATAGCGACATTTAACAATATAATTTTCCAAAACAGATGTAGGAAAAGTAAAATGTATTTATTCATTTATTTATTTAAACCGTAGAGAAAAAAGGACCATGAAGATTATAATTACATAAGTTTACACTATTAAGGGTTGATTACAAATGAACACATCAATGTATTTCAACTTTTAAAGGTCAGTTAAAGGTCCTATATTACGCAAAACATATTCTTGTGAGTTTTAAGTTATGTTATAATGTTGTTACCTCATTAAACACATACCTGGAATCATGTGTTGCTTCATTCACACAATTAAGTGATCCTTTTTTTAATTAGTTTGTCTATATCTCCAAAGCTCAAAATGCTCTGCTCAACCTTGTGATGTCATGTAGTGGTGGTTTTCAAGTTAACAGGTACTCTTTATCTTTTGTTTAGTAGAGAGATTGGCAATTACAGCTCTGAATTTTTCCAAATGATTCTTGTGGAGGAGTTTTAAAACACAGTGGAGCTCTTAATGATGTTTTTAGTTTGATAGAAGAACACAGCCTAAAGATGCAGGGATTGTGTGTTAAATATGTGTGAATCAAACAAAAAACCACAACTCCAGGTCTGTTTTAGATGTGGAAAGAACATTATAACATAGATCAGAAGATGTGTAATATAAGCCCTTTTATAAATCAACACTAATGAACCCAAATGAGATGTTAAGGGATTCACAATTTATTCTGTCTTATCAAATTTTAGCCTGTATTGGAATTAAGAGTCACTTGAGTATAACTGCTGTATCATTAGTTGGTACATGGTGACCCCACTTCCAAGTCTGTCCCAGGAGAAGGCACAGGGGTTTTTGCGGTGATGCAGTCATTTCAGGACAAGCTGGTTTCGTCCGCAGGGCCATTGCACGTCAGCTGACAGGTGCTACTGCTCTGAGATGGGTCCGAAACAGGATGTGTGCTTTGAATATTTTATTGATTTTTCAGAAGGATCTAATGTAGGATGTATTATTTTTATTTTTTAGGACATCACGTATCTCTGTATATCAGCGTCAGATCACTCCAAGCAAAACCTGTGAGTAAATTACACTCATCTTGGAATTCATGTCCAGACGTCAACCCTTTCTGAAACCTGAAATTAATTTATTTAGGTAGTCAATGCTAAAAGCTGTAACAGGACCTCCTATTGGTATAACAATCATAATACAAAGACATATGCACCTATAATATATAAACTATATATTTTTTTCACCTGACTGTTACTCTGCCTGATCTATTTTTGCTTGTTTTGTTCCTGGGCAGGACACTTTATACATACAGTACATTGCTAATTCCAGTCAGATCATTGACTTTTATAGAGCTCCTGTTAGGGGAGTGATAATCTAGAGAAATAAGATGCGAGTGAAGGTGATAAAAATGAAAACACATCCTGTCCTTAAAATAATACAGTCTTCTAATGAATGAAAATTACAGCATTTAAAAACAACGCTTTCAATATGCACACTTATTTTGTATTTGTTTCCAGGACCCAGTACTTTAAAGACAGCATTATATTCATCCATGAGTCCAGAATGAAAGGAGAAGGCTGCCTTGTTCACTGGTACAGACTACTTTGAGTCCATTTACTTGGGAGCTATGTTCATTTTCTGGTGTAGAGTCTGCCACCTGCTGGTCTCTGTGAGAAAGACTTTGCTTCATATGTTCCACAAATAAACTGTATATATAAATGGACATAGCTAACATGCTGGCCCTCACATTCCAGATAGGAAGTGAACATGGGCGTGCTTCTGGCTCCATGGTGTCTGGTTCCAATTCAGTTTTCTTTTGACATAATATTGTCCCTCTCTCTATAACTGCTGCTGTGAGCATCGTCATTTTGGTGTTAAAAGGTTCATATTAACCTGCTCTACATGATCCTGGTGTTTTTATTTAGCTATGTTGTCCATAAATAAATCCCTATTCATAATATGGATCTCGGGTCCAAATTTGCTCCTATAACCACTAGCCTCTGTGAGCTTCCTTTGACTGGAGCCAAACGCTATGGGTGACGTTACACTCACTTAGTCCACTTCTTTATACAGTGTATGGGGCCATATTATAGCAATAAACTTCACTCCATGGAGACCTGTAGGTGATCAGTTGCATGTCATATCTATGGAATGGTGGGTTTGCTGTTTATTGTAAAACATATGTATATATTTGTAAAAGAATCAATCCAAGGTCAATACATTTAATGCCATACTGTGCAACATTACAGACAATGTAATGATATCACTATGGAGACAAGCAAGTAGCAGACCCTCCACATGAAAAGTTACATAGTGCACATTTAATTCATTCAAATAAGCCCACTAGGATGATGTTAAAATATAAGTTTCTCACAGTTTCTCGGTGTTATAGTGTGGCAGGTGTGTCCCGCAGTGTGACTCTGGTGGTGGCCTACATCATGACAGTGACCGGCCGGGGTTGGGTGGAGTCTCTGGCTGCAGTCCGAGCAGCCAGACCCTGTGCTGGACCTAACCTGGGCTTCCTCCGGCAACTGGAGGAGTTTGAAAACATCGAACTGGCACAAGTGAGTATAGGGCTGTATGGAGCGGTATAGAGCTATTACCATGGAAATAGGCCATGTTTGTGGCAATAGCACAAAACTACACTCTGCAGTGTAAGAAAACATCTGAATTAATGCTAAATTTAATGTTTAGCATCTTAAAATCTCCAGCGGTTTAACATTAGGCTCACTGAAAATTCTATAAGGTACAGATATATATAAGGCACAATCTCAAGCTTTATTCAATGACAGATGATGTTGGTCAACCAAAGCTGTCATAACTATACAAGTATATGTCTAAGATCTGACGATGTATCTAACTGATATACTGTATTCTTTATACAGTCTATGATCTAATCCTAACTGCACTCTCAAGATCTCAAGCTTTGGGGGTGACATACAGAGAAATAGTGAACTCACATCATGTGAAAAATGTCAAACTCATCATTCATTGATGCAAAACAAACTTGCTGCATGTCTACCTAAAAATTGGCTAACCAAACAATCAATGGCACAAGGTCTTTGATGTGAGTACATGTGGTACATATGATCTCATTTTCAGCTTTTTCCACACAATACAGGTCTGTAAAGACTTAATCCAAACTTAAACTTAACCAAATTATCTGTCCCTAAACTTGGCCCTTATGCAAATCCTGATTGAGCAGTAAACTATTGCAAATCAGCATCTGCTCTCAAAATATTTGCAAATAAATAAATAAAGATTAACAATAATTCCTTCTCATACCTAACTGTATAGTCTTCTCTTTCTTGCAGTATCGTGACTGGTGGAAGGACCACTATGAAAAGACCTTCTTCAATGATGACGAGGAAATTGCTGAACTTTTGATGAAAAAATATCACAACAACAGTGAAGGCATGGTGACCAACATAACACCACGATTAGCAACTTGAATATGTACAGTTTTAAAAGCATTGTTGTAAAGGTGATTTTCCTGGACCATACAAATCTGTGGCTGCCGACACGGGGACAAAACAGAGTAAAAAACCCAGCAGTGACATAAGCTGGTAAAGTCATATGAATGGGGAATTTTACATGTGAATAACTTGAATCCCCATTAGGTGTCATGTCCTTGATACTAACTGTCAAAACAGCACGCATGGCCAGTCAAGCATAGCCCTTTGCTGAGACCACACCAGAGACACAAAACATCTAAGCAATGAGACATGCTTCCCTTATACTTGAATTCAAATGTAGTTGTGAACTTTGTGTGCTTTTTATGTTCTTGTATTTACTCGTGTATTTTATCGTACAACCTTCTGATTTTAGAAGTTTTGGAGCATATTAAAAAAAAAGGTTTGACAAATGAAGATTGTATACACTCATTGATTACTTACAGTGACAATAAATAGGCCATTACTTAGATAAATGGTATGAATCTACGCAAAAGATCTGGAATAAAAAATAAATCTACTATTTTATTGTGAGAAAACAGAAGCTTAATTGTGGTCTTATTATATGTGGACATATAGGCTATAAATATATATTGGAATAGCCTGTATTTTTATTTTATATTATTTTTTATACACTATATTTTATTAATGACTTCTTGATGAATATGATTTGCTTAGATTGACTTCTGTAGCCAAAACCCTAACGGTCTTATTTGGGCGAATAGAAATCAGACTTTTGGGTTAGTGATGAGAGATGATTGTCATTTTTGCTGCCGTGTAGTTTTGGTAAACTTTTATCATTCGATTTCAAAGAAAGTGTTTCTCCGTCCACCACGTGTGACAGTGCCACTGTGTAATCAGGTGAGTGGCAGGTTTCCCCCTGTGTTTCACTGAAGAGCAGTGCGCGCGCACAGCGGCAGGTGCGTCCCCCTCAGCATCTGCGTGACGCCGCCCAGGGCCGCTGCTTTTAAGCGCATGAGCCTCATCATCTACGCTTAGTGACTGATCGCGAGGTTTCGAGTTTCAGGTAAGGCCGTCTCCAGAGTCATAGTAAGAGGTCACGTAAAGGAATTTTTTGTAAACGTGAAAACGTTTATCAGGCCTGGAACGTGGATATGAACTCTGATGTGGAGTACGGGGGCTCGGCCAGCAGCGGGAACGGCAAACTGCGCCAATGGCTTATAGACCAGGTGGACAGTGGCAAGTACCCGGGCCTCGTGTGGGAGAACGACGAGAAAAGCATCTTCAGAATCCCCTGGAAGCACGCGGGCAAACAGGACTACAACAGGGACGAGGATGCCGCGCTATTTAAAGTAAGGAAAAAGCATCTTTGCAGCTTTAATTGTGTCATTCAAGAGGAGCATAAGAGAATAAGCACAGACCTGCACGTGCAAGAATCCCCTCAACGGATGTTTCATTAAAACTGTCAAATGTTTCATTTGCACGACGCACGTTTCCCGGTGCGGTGCAACAGTTGATTTGCGCTGTGCAGCTTTTACTCTGTGTAGCCTAAACGTGTTTAACCTCCGTGTCCACAGGCCTGGGCTCTGTTCAAAGGGAAGTTCCGCGAGGGCATCGACAAACCGGACCCTCCAACCTGGAAGACGCGCCTGCGTTGCGCGCTCAATAAAAGCAATGATTTCGAGGAGTTGGTGGAGCGCAGCCAACTGGACATCTCAGACCCATACAAAGTCTACCGTATCATCCCGGAGGGTGCCAAGAAAAGTAAGCTTTGAAATGTGCACATTTGGGCGTTTAATTCTGTATTTAACCATTAATTTGTACCAGATTTCCCATAGTATCTGTTGACACTGTTACTATGTATTCATAATCACATTTTGCACTGAACAGCTTTTGAAAATATTAAGTAAATTAACCGGTGATGTTTGTAATTCTTTTTTTTTCTTTTTAATTTTACAATGTATTTATGTATTATATAAATGATTATATACTAATTATGTAAGTATTTATTTTATAAACAGTTATGTAGGCTACATAGAACTGACCTTAAAAGACGGCAGACTCTCATTGCAGCAGCTCTTTTTGTTTCTGCTTTTTCAGGGCCTAGACCAGAGGACAGTCCCCTGAGCCCCATGCTGTATCCAGTACAGTCTCCATACCCCACCCTGCAGGCTCAGGTACTTTTTTACACAAAAGTCTCATGATGCCTCATGCAATACAATATACAATACACACACATGTGTATGTGTGTGTGTATATATATATATATATATATATATATATATATATATATATATATATATATATATATATATATATATATTTTAGAGAGTGAGATAGTTTGATCTGTGTTCTAAGACCAAATGTGAATGTAATGATAGGGTAGAATCTTTGTATCATTACATTTGCAAAGAGATATCTGAATTGAATTCAAAAAGCCTTAACAATATAAAAGCATAGATGCACAAAGCTGACAGAGCTGTTTTTGCAGATGCAGCCGTACATGACTCCCTCAGACTGTGGATGGAGGGACTACTGTCAGGAGCAGGAGCTGTCCTATGCCCAGTGTCCCTTTCCCCCACACAGCCTGCAATGGACAGCAGCTCCTCCCATGGACAATGGTACAGACACCTGCCCCATCACAATCAGCACCTTTGTGCCATACTCTAACCGACCCCCCTCTCCATGTAGGGTACCAAATAAGGGCCTCCATCTACTCATATGGTCCCTCTGATAGTCAGCAGCTCCCCTTTGGTCTGGACCCCAGCATAAGACCTGCAGATCCCCTCACAGGTACCAGTACGAGAGGCTGTGCAGAGAAAGACACTTATTATATAACCCATATTCTGTAAAAGCTGGAAGACTGTTTTAAAACATTAAAACAAACATTCAGTTGAAACATAAAACATAAACATGTCCTTCTCTCCACACAGACCCACGCCTTCATGTGTGTGTATTCTACCGGGACACACTGTTCAGGGAGGTGACCACCACCAGTGTAAAAGGCTGTCACATCTCCCCGTGCAACCCGGAGGAGAAACACTTCTTTCCCCCAGGAGGACCAGAGCTGGTGGCCCTCCCGGTCAGGTGCACATCACCACACAGCTCTGAGGAGAGCCCACCCACTCCCCCTGCCAGCCTGGACCAAGGGGTGCTGCTGTGGATGGGCTCTGACGGACTGTATGCCCAGAGACTGTGTCAGAGCAGAGTGTACTGGCAGGGAGGACAGAGCCCATTTGGAGACAAACCCAACAGGCTGGAGCGGGACGTCCCATGTCGACTGCTGCACACCCAGGACTTCATCTCAGGTAACGCACTTAGATTTCTTTAAATGATCATCTCTGCAGCTGTACAGTCATAAGAGGGTATGTTGGACAATTTTCATAAAACTAAACCATTGTGAGTCAGCACACATCTGCAGTGACTTTTCAAACTGGGTTAGTCACATGACCACAGAGACGTACTCAGATTCCACCCACATGCTCTAAGCATCAACCATCTGACAGCCTGAGAGCTAATTGTATTTGCATGCAGAATGCTACAAAATGTTACAGGAGTTTCCAGTGAGATCTGCCCCAAAGGTCACACCACTAAAAGTGAGGTTCTTCTGAATTTACCTGAACTTTTGTGTCTTTCAGAGCTCCAAAGCCTCGGGCTGCATGGGCGGCCGCTGCCTCGCTTCCAGGTGCTGCTCAGTTTTGGTGATGAGTGTCTGGACCCACAGAGACACAGAGGGTCCCTCACAGTCCAGGTCAGGCTCTTACCTGTGCTTTTATATGTCCCTGTCATATCATAACAGGCCCCCAACATGAGATGTCACAGTCAAAACAATTACTGCCTGATAGTAGTAAATAGTAAATAGTGAGCAGATTTATAAAAATGAAATAAAAGAAGTGAAAGTTTTGTAAACTACTACTTCTGTTTCCAAGGTTCAAATGCATTACAAGTTTGACGCCGCACAAGCCACCAGTATGAGCAGTGAAATTACTCTCATAGCCAGCTCCTATATTTTCAGACTATAAAATGTCCCTTTCAGGTGGGGGACAGGAATCATTGTTACTCAATCAATTATAGGTCCACACTATCTTACTTAAAGAATGCTATCCCAGAAAATCCCCAAATGTTGAACATGATCGATTAGTGACAATGTCCATTAATCACATGTATTTTATTTGCTTTGTTATGTAATGAGAAACTCAGCTATACAGAAGTGTTTTGAGATCAAACTAAACCTTTTTGTATGTCCAGGTGGAACCACTGTTTGCCCGTCAGCTTCTGTACTATGCACAGCAGACCAGCAGCCATTATTACCGTGGATACGAGCACCCAGGACTCACAGAGCACATTGCCCACCCAGAGGACTATCAAAGACCCCTCACACACCACAGCAGTAGCCTGCAGGACTGACCTCTGCTGGGCCAAGAGACTTAAAACTACTGAAAAACAGAATATGGACAGTATTAGACTAATGTGTTTTGATGATAAAGTTAAAGGGCCTATATTACACTATTTATTACATTATATCTATGTTATAATGTTGTTTTCTCATCAAACCCTACCTGAAGTTGTGTTTTTTTTCATTCACACATATTTAACACACAAACAGTGCATAGGTGCAGGCTTTGTGTGTTAAATATGGTAATGCAGGAGGTGCTCCACTGTGTTTTTACACTCTATACACCTTCACTATAATTATTTGTATATTTTTATCTCTGGAATTGTCAATCTCTGTTAAACAAAAGGTAAAAAGTTGTTAACTTGAAAACTACCACAACATGACATCACAAGACGGAATGGAGGATTTTGAGCTTTTTAGACGGATATTATTATTATTATTATTATTATTATTATTATTATTATTATTATTATTATTATTGATTTCTCAAGCATGTGTGAATGAAACAAAACACAACTCCAGGTATGTTTTTTAGGATGTAACAACATTATAACATGTCTTAAAGTGAGTCAATTTAGTGTAATATAGGACATTTAATTTCTGGATTCCTGAAGTTGAGCTATGCTCTATGTACATAAAAGGAACTTTACTATAGGAATGACCACATGCACAACAGACTGCCCCAGTGGGATTTAATGGGTCCCTGTATAGGACCATGAGATGATCAAAGTGTACCTCAACCATACAGTATTTTAATATTTCAGCAAAACGCCATACTAGCTTTTGTGTTCAAACTTGAAAACGCTGCCTTGTTGTCTTAAGTTATATTGTTGTACAAAGACATTTTTATGAGACACTATATTTACAAAATCTTGTTGGAAAATGCAATGACCTGTGCCAAATGACTCAGGGAACCTTATAAGCTTTGTAATCTGTATCACATATCAATTTTCATGATATTTTCCAATGCTGTATCTGAGAAATGTATTATAGATGACTGAAAAATCTGCTGTAAAGACAACAAGCAATAAACGGCTACAGTGCCCAAACTGTAAGAGGAAATGTGGTTAGATGCTTGATCATAAACAGTGATGACATCAGAGGAAGACAGAGGAAGAGAATGGCTCATGCGCTGCTATTGAACCCATGTCTTCCTCGAGTTTCTTACAAACACTAAACCACTTCTCTGGAAAACTTAGGGGCATTCTTCACCACTAAATAAACAATTTACCAGAAAGACGGGAACATGTGAACAAAGCAGACATGGGGAGTCTCCTTACTGCAAGCAATAACAAGTATACTAGCCTACTTTGTGACAACTATGTGGACTTAACATTGCAGAATATATTTGTAAATGTTTTTTGGGCCAGAAAGCATTTTCCTGAAATCCAGATGCACATACACTAAATCAGTTTAAATTATGCAAGCTAATTTGTGAGACAACATTATGTCAAATGCAAAACCCAATGGCCTAGTATACTGACAGGTCTATCTAGGTATATCAAATTCTATAGAGGTTACATTAAAAACTCCCCTCCGGATGACAGCTGTTACTGTAAACTACAGGTAGTGAAGACCGGATAAGGTTTCATGCTTTGAACTTGTTTTGTGAATGAATCTGTGGGTGGACAGGGAGCTAAGTTTAGAACATACAGCACCAAAACATCATCTGTCACATTTGGTTTGGCTTTCCCCTACCTGGGAACCAAACCAAATTATGCCGCAAGATACATGACAATAAACAACGCTAATGCAGAAACATAGAGATAAAAAAATGCATTAGAAAGATTATATTCTAGAAGGTTTCAGGGTAACTTCCCCTTAAAACCGCATAAACTCAAATAATGTTTTCGTCAACCTCAAGTCCAGTTAGTCACACTGTCTAGCTCCAGTTAAAAGATCCAACCACAACAATAAGATCTACATTCAACAAATAGAATCATACTTTCTTTCACCGCTGTCTAGTCTGGGGTCTTGTCTGTAACAAAGGCACTAACACCAAAACCAACCCTCGCCCCCACCCAAAAACGCCCTCCTCCTCCCAGTAAGCCTACAACCTATACGATCACATGCCATTCAGCACAAGAGGAGCTCTACAAATGAATGTAGCATACTGGTTAACTGCTTACTAATGTAGAGCAAGGAGTGCACTCAAAACAACTGTCACTTATCAACAGTCAAAGCAGTAATATGGTGACTAACTGTCTCTTTAGTACAACTCAGTTGAGTTAAGTGAAATTGTTTTTTTCATATGATTTCAATGTGTCCAAGGATCTAATTTGCACATGAGAGTACACATCTATAGGTCATTTTCCCTGTGTGCTCATAATTTTTGCATGGGCTTAACAGTTACTGTAAAAAATAAAAAAAAAGATTTGCCAGTTGCCAGTTCACCACCACTGATTTGACACCCCACATATGCTGTAGCTAAGAAAGGAGTTTTATACAGCAATGTGTGTAAACTTGCTTATAAATTTAATCTGTTATATAAATTGAGTGCAAAAAAAATCACATGCACTTTGATAATTGACTCCCATTTATAAAGGCCATTGAGTATAATTTTGTAATCTCCCATATCAAAACATTAATTACAATGTATAGACAGATGACACTAGTAGCTCTCATTGACATATTTATTATATTATGACACATTGTTGGACATTAACTGACATGCCTGAACAGTTTGAGTGGCTTTACGTGATTAGCATAACCCACACTCTTGGGACTGTCCTGCAAGGTGACAATGAAATACATTCATTTAGTGTGAAATTCAAAGTGGTTAGCAGTAACCATGAGTGAAAGATAACAGAAGTTAGAAGACTGATATTGCGGTGTGGTTTATCTCTTGATGGGCTGGACGGAGGAGGGCTGGAAGCAGGTGAGCTGAAGCTTCATAGAACTCTTGAATTTGTTTAAAAGCTCCTCCAGTAACCTAGAAAAATCAGTACAAATAAATAGATGTAACTGAAAGATACTGAAGGATTTGCTGGTTCTCAGAATGACTTACTTCTTATCAGCCCCACTCTGAAGCTGTGGAAGAGTGTCCAAAGCGTGTTTGAAACTAACACTGCAAGCAGAAAATCAGTTACATTTGGCAAGTTTCATAAGGGCGATAAACTTTGAAATACTGTTAAGTGCTATAATTCTTGAGAGTGTGTAAAATATATAGTTCTTTTGTTGAAAGACCTTTAGCTGCACAAATGTAATCTCTCATTAATAATTTTGCAGACTTCTGTTGAGGACATGGTGATGCCATTAAGACAAGTTATAGTTCATATCAGTGGAGAGGTGACCACGCTCACAGTTTTCAAGATTCTTTGAGCAATAAAAATTATATAATTGCTAAATATAAGTTTAATGCCATACTGTGGAAAAAAGCAAAACATGAGAAGCACAAGTTACATAGTGCCCCGTTTTAAACACATGTCACTTTATTACATTACAAACAGATAACTAAACAGATAAAGCAACAATTTAAAAAAGCGTTCATTTTTCTGTTTTGGTGAATTCGCATCACCTTAAGGGCAATATGAGCACACATTCACTTCCATCCACGCTGCAGAGCATGCATACAGCACAACCATATTACTTTCACTTCCTTTCCAAAACCAAGCAGAATAAGCGGAAGGGATCGTAGTCAGGGATGTGTGACTGTTAAGATTTATGACCAAGACACTCAAAACCATTAATCACTCACTCAGGGTTCCTGGCCACTGGGTCAGTTTATGTGGGACACTTACAGGCTTTTTGAGTTCAGGTATGCAGCTATGGCATCTTTCAGCGCACAGATTTCAAGACGTGCCTATGAATGCAAAAAAGGATGATGAAAAATAACAATGTTTTTTGCCAACTAAACAACTAACATCATGCAGGGCAGTGAGTGCATTATATTGTATGTTTTAGGGATGTTTCTAGGCACCATAGGGTCTATATGAAAGTACTTTTCACATACTAATAATGAGAAGAGACATTATTATTCAGAAGTGAAAGCTCAAGATAACCAAGAAATTGATTTAATATACTACGGGCAGTTAATGCGTGGTTCCAGTGAAGATTGCATTGGTTTACAAACTAGAACCAAAATAGCAACAGGTGGAGTTTAGTCTGGAGTCTCACAACTTTACATAAGAAAGTAGAGTTTAACATTTGAGTCTTGAGTCTATGACTATGGTCGCACCTGCAGGGCTCCATTTTTGCTGAAGGATGAGACACACTCCATCAAGCGGCACATCTCATCTGCAACTGACTCCACTATTTTAGACAAAACCCTTGGAACCAGATCTTTGGAAACTGTGAAAACCTGAATGAGAAAATACCATAAATAACACATTTCAAACAATGAATTTGCACCTATGTATTTAATGTAGTTTGCAATACTTCAGCATGAACGGCAATGATGTTGACCAAGGCTTCTTTCAAGTAGTTTCTTACACCTGAGGGTAAGATGGATTAAAAATGTTAAGGAAAAGAGGATCCTGAAAATTGTGTTATCAAAAAAAACAAGAAAAACAAGAAACAAGGACTATAAAAATATATTCCTAATTCTGTATATACCCTTTTGACCCAAAGGGACCTCTCAATGGGTGTAGTGCAAAGGTATCATATCCTAAGTGTGGTTTGGACTGCAAAATGTTCCTCTTTCATTTGTACAAAAATACACAAGCATCTTAGGAACAACAAAGCATCTAAGATTTTATTAAAGTATAAAATATATGGATCATCGGGGGACCCTCGTGAGACCTTTGTGCACACGCGAATGTAAAACCACAGGTAAAGTTTTGCTGACACCCACAGCCACTCTAAAGGCCAGGATATTATCATCAAGAGGCAAACAAAAGATCCTATGAGAGCTTACTGTAAGTGAAACGAATTAAGATAAAAGATGAACTTTACAATGCAATCCACAAAACCAAATAGGACTTTGTTAACACATTGTATAGGTAAACTGTATGAGACTACTTTACTTTGTGTTCCTTACTGTACTGCTAAGGATTTTTAAAAAATGATACCCAGATACTAATCAACTAGTATTGAAAGTAGATACTTATTTGAAGTACTTTGCATACTGAAATATATCAGAACTACAATATAAAACCATTCTTTGTATTGAGTATCAAGTGTTTTGCTTAGCTCAAAATGTTTTAATAGTGACAATAGAAGTACTGATACAGTAATTGTTCCATAAGTTTTTTATTATGCATTGCTAAAAGGTCCTCTATTACGCAAATTGACACTTGTGAGCTTTTCTGACAAGCTGAAGATGCTCCGTTCCACCTTGTGATGTCATGAAGCGGTAGTTTTCAAGTTAACAGCTACCTTTTATCTTTTGTTCATTAGTGATTGGCACTTCCAGGGCTGAAATGATCCAAATGATTCTAGTGAATGTGTATGAAGTTTAAACCACGGTGTATTACTTCCTGTATTACCACATGACATCACAAGGTGGAACAGAGTGTTTTTTGTTTTGGGAAAAAAACACAGCCTAAATATGCAAGATTTGCATGTTAAAAGTGTGAATGAAACTAAATGCAATTCCAGGCATGTTTTTGATGAGAAAACACCATAATAACATAGATCAGAAAGCAGCATAACATGGGCCCTTTATTGTTACCTGTTGGTGCTTGACAATCCCTCCAATCAAAGTAACCCGCATAAATGCCAGGCTCGAGGGCCCCAGCAATGGGGTCAGCCCGTCTCTCAATGTAGGCATCAAAGAGCTTTCTGTCCAACTCTCTCACTGCTTCCACACTCACCTGGATTACAAATATTTGTTAGACTTAGACTTAAACTTAAAAACAGAATAATACATAGAAATGGTGATTACATTCAAATTCAGAGAAGTAAATTAATAAAATGAGGTGATTGTCAAGTAAGAAGTCCCTGTAATATTTGGTAATGTTTGCTTTGTGATTCAGTCATTAGTCATTGTGTGCAGTTGTTTGTGTGTGTTGTGAGTGAGTTGAGCTGTCTATAGGGTGACCTTTAAGATTGGAGAGAAATCTAGTCATGTTTCTTGTAGAGATAGTGATGGGGATTCAGCTTCTTGTATATTCTCTTTCACA